AGAGAGAGAGAGAGAGAGAGAGAGAGAGAGAGAGGGAGAGAGAGAAGAGAGCGCTCAGTGGCAGAACACTTGACTAGCATGTTCATAACCCTAGGTTCAATCCTCAACACCGGGAAGATTGTTATTGAGATTCCCGTATTTTCTATTTTCCCCACCCCCTCTTTGTCCCTCTTTTCTCTCTCCTGGCTCCTTTTTGAGAAAAGCAAAGACCAGCCTTGAATTCTCAGTCTTCCAGCCTCTGCCCTTCCAAGTGTGGGGGTTAACATTCATGGAAACACCATGCCCAGCCACACATATTTAGTATGATGTAAATAGTTTAGTTAGCATGCATCAATTATGAACAACGGGTTCATGTTGGCACTTTCCCATATATGATGTGTTGATCATTATCATGTTACTCTTCAGTAACTCTCTTGCAGCCCTCCCAGGGGTGAAGCCCTGGGGCTGATCTACTTCCTCCTCCCAGTTAGTCATTGTGTGGGGGAGGGAGAGAACACACACCAGTGAGTTCCATCAGGCTTCCCAGGAGCACAGGCAAGCATTCCTTAGAGTGCGGACATCTTTCCGGTGACTACACCACCCAGCAGCCATCACCTGCCTGTAGGTCCTGATGAAAGAGCAGGCCCCATGAGCCCCTCCCCAAAGGTACCTTTGCCCAACGAGCCATCTTGTCAGGCCCCCATTATTTCACTTTTGTTTGTAGGTTTCCTGAGGCAGTCTCATAGTAGCCCAAGCTGGCTTTGAATTCACAGTGATCATCCTGCTTCAGCAACCTAAGGGCTAGGATTTCATTTACACAAAATCTATACTTTACATACAAATTTGAGGTTCTGGGATTTTACAAACTAATATTGCATCTAACAAAAGTGCATGTGTGTGGACCTTGGAGTCTGAAAGGCCTGGGTCAAATGCCAACTATACAGTGACTCACTCTATAAGCTGCAGCTAATGTTTTAAGTTCTTTGCACTTTAGTTTCGTCTGAAAATATAAGATATAAATAGTTCAAAGAATAGTAGGAATTTCATGACACCTAAAAACTACAATGTCTTATTTACAATTGGCACTCAACAAACATTATCTCCTTTCTGAAGTAATTCCTCCCAGAGTAAGAAAACCTAAGAACATGATGTCTCAGGTTACTACTGTTAGTATAGAGACCATGGGCAGAAGCAAGTTCGGAGGAAAAGGGTTTGTTTGGCTTACCTATCCCAAGTCACAGTCTACAGAGGAAGCCAAGGCAGGAACCTGGAGGCGGGACTGAAGCAGAAGCCATGGAGGAGTGCTGCTTACTAGCTTGCTCTCCATGGCTTGCTCCACTTTGCTATCTTATAGAACCCAGGACCACCTGCCAAGGGGTGGCGCCACCAGTGTGCTAGGCCTTCCCACATCGATTACTAATCAAGAAAAGACTTTCTAACAGGCCAATCTTACCAAGGCATTTTTGCAATTAAGGTTCTTTCTTCTCAAATAAATGTAGGTTTGTATCAAGTTGACAAAAACTAACCAGAATACTGGTTCCCCTGGCCTACATACTAAAGATTATCAAGTAATGTAAACAGGCTATGGTGGTGCATGCCTGTAACCCTAGCACTCCAGAAGCAGGTGAGCAGTAATCCAAAGTCATCCTTGGCTATAGAGTAATTTGACCAGCTTGACCTTGTCTAAAACAACAACAAAAGACCATAAAATTCAAGACTCCCTGGACAACTTAGTAATAAGACTGTCTCAAAACCAAAAGGACCAGTCAGCTAGATGGCTGAGCAGGGAAAGGCACTTGCTGTATAGCCCAACAGCCTGAATTCCTTCCTGGAACCCATGGGGGAAAGAAGAAAAATCAACCAAATCCTCAAAGTTGTCCTCTGACCTCCACATGTAGCCATGGCACAAGTGTCTGCACTGAAACACACACACACACACACACACACACTCATCTCCCCCAATAGTACAGTGCTTGCCTAGTCTGCATGAGGGTCTTGGGTTTAACCTCTAGCACTGGAAAAAAAAATCATTTAATGTTTTTGTTGTTTTAAATTTTTTTGTGTTTTGTTTTTTGTTTGTTTGAGATAGGATCTTTCTTTTTAGCCCTGACTATCTTGGAACTCTATGTAAACCAGGCTGGCCTCACACTCACAAATGCAGTGGTATTTGTTGCTTGGGCTACAGGGCCCTAGGGAGGTGGTGCTTCCTGCTGTTGTCCAGGACCTCTCACAGGGAGGAGAGAGGGGTCACCTGGTCCCTTCTCCCTGCTGCCTGCGAGGTAGATTCACTCCTGGTCAGATCAGAGGACGACTTCAGCTGTCTACTCTGTTCTGTATTCATGAGTGCATTTCTTCAATTTATATCTTAATAAATCCCTATTACCCATTAAATAGACTCATGTGGACTGATCTTAACAAGTGGTACCCAACGTAGGAGATACCATTGCCCCCTAAATAGCAGGAAGAAATTCTAAGAAAACTGCTGCGGGCCGCAGGAATATCATAAGAACTCAGCTGGTTATGGCAAAGTCACTACC